GTTCACGCCATCGATTCAATATTGAACCCAAGCATCATAGAGAATCCGATGGACAAATGCCGATGAAAGGAACTGCACTCACAAGAATCCACGCAGCTTCATCAGCAGCCAGCATCAGCAGCATCAGAGTAGACTCACCCGTTTCTCCTACCCAAACCTTCGCGAAAGAGACCAAAGCAAGACTCGAATCTACCCTTTAAAACAAACGCTCGGCTCGTAGGTCCCGGCCAGCAGCCCCGAGGGGGATAGCCCAACAAACCAACGAAAACTCCCCCCCCTTCCAAACCTGACAAGGGAATCCCAGGCTCACGTTGAACAAAGATCTTAGCCCGGGAGAGCTGTCGTGACTTTGGTTTTGCCAGGCTGGGATGTTTTGCAGACAGCGATTTCATAATCAGGGGTGTGTTTCGTAGGGTGCAGCGGCGACTCACTGCATGACATGCTGAAAAAGCCCACCGGGTTCTCGATACCGGCACAGTTCAAGAGTTTTGGGACCATCGTGTAAGCTGAGACCAAGTCTGGCCTGGCGAGACAGCCATCCACCGTACCTTGGGACGGCAAGTTACATCAGAAAAAGAGATGCGAGAACGAGCCCCGCAGTCTGTCCGTATTGTCACGTGAGCGACTTCTTGATGTTCAAGTAGACTAGCGATTGGACATGTATCTCGACAGCTCTATCAAATTATCATGATCCATCCAAACAGATTGCACGTCAATAGGCACTACAGTCTCTCGTCTTTACTACTGCTGCTCATCACTGCAAGACAAGCTGCTTGTCTTCCAAGCATTGTGGAAGATCCCAGTGGTATAGTGTGACAACGGGAGTGATCCTCAGCACTCCACTGGGCCATGCCAGGCTTGCTCTCAAACAACCCGGCTCCTCTCTGGTCTTGCCAGCTCACCGTACGAAAACGCAGCGACTTTCAGAACTGGTGCTGCGGAGGCTCCCACTGCTGCAGAGCCTTAGGTATACCAACTGGCGCTGAGGGACATGCAGCTTCACGGTGCTTCGTGACGGGGGGTGCAGGCAAGCGGCTCTGACAACAGCGACTGGTAAAAATCGACAGCTCTTTGGTTCGGTTTGCCCGTACCGGCCGGGAGCAACCTAGGGGTGCATGCTGCATTATTGGGCAATGTGATGCCGACATCAATGCTCAAATCTAGGCAATCAAGAAGACGAAGCGACCTCGACCAGGAGATAGAGAAACGATATGCTTTCAATCCTGAGCTGAGTGGCGAATGCGGTGCCAAGTCGAGTTGAGGATGCTTTCATGCTTTGCTAGCGAATATACTTGCGAAAAAGAGCAACTGCAGCACTGTGACATCGGGTCGACTCGGCAAACTACCCAGCTCCGCTCTGCACATGCGAAACAGTTCTTCAGCCAACCGAGAGGTGGATGTCTTCACGAGGCGCGGCGAGCCTCTGCGGAATCTCAACCTAGACTGCGCATACAGATTGAGGTGACCTTGATTGCAGGCCAAGGTGTCCCAGCTCTTTCATGAGTTTAACATCATCAGACCATCCTCAGCAATTGGGGAAGGGGGTGGTTCTTCAGCAGCGGTCTTTGCGTCTCATAGTCCAATATCCTAGTTATCTTTTGTCGACCTAGGTCGATCCTTCCTACTTGCACACAGAGTGCCAAAACGGTTACTGACAACCTCCGAGCTGCTGTAGTAGTGTTCACAAGCATGAGCTCCTGCACAGAAGTCTGTCTTCAGTCTCGAACCGCATGCCAAGCGTGCTTGCCCGAACACAATACCCCAACAGACACTCGTACGTTTGTCTTCAGTCGTGCAGGATGCTGGGGAAACTCCGGCTGCAGCACGTTGAACATCAGCTTCCACTTGTCTCCAAGGACGGAACAAACTCCCAAACTCCAAACCACGACACTCAACCAGCAAGTGCTGGGCCGCTGGGCTGCTGAGACGTTCTGCATGTATACGCCCATAATTAATCACTGGAAAGATGTGCCCAGAATGTGCCTTTAGCCGACTTCCGCCCCTGTTCAGCAGCTCTTCTGCCCGAGGCAGTTGCGCGGTGTAGATTTCGACTGAAATCGCCGGAGGCCCGATCCATTGTACAATCGTGCTTTTAGCACCATAGTGACTATAGTGCTGTGCCGTAGAAATGGCACCGCCGCCGCAGTCCGGTCTAGCAGCTGTGGTCTAGAACCTAGAAGTCCCGTCCGTCGATCCAAACGGGCTTCGGAATGTGGCGACGATCAAAATCGTGCTCCCGCCAGCATCGTTTCCCGCCACAGTCCCGTGCGTTTGGGCCTTTGGCAATCGTGCTGCAGCCATAGTGTCGTGCAGAGGTTGGGTGCTCCGCCTCTCATAAGCTCGCGGGCGGCTGTTCTTCGGCGCAGTGCGGTGCGCATGCTGTGGTCTTGGAAGCCTGGGGGTGCTCCAGGATGTTTGGAATGCTGTCGCCTGACTTGTGCCGTTCCTCGCGTTGTTAATCTGTGCATGCACCAAGCACATGTTGGAAACCTCTCGAATCACAGGCAAATTCACTAGTCCGGGATACGTGGCATCAGCCTTTTGACGCGCGAGGATGGCCCAGGGTCAAGCACGGCTAAAACGAGGACTTCTGCAGCAAACGCAGAACAATCTTAAATGAGAGTCGAGAGCGAGGATGCCGCGTATTCGGGACACAGCAGCATTCGGGTGTCAGGTTAATAATTGTTAATAGGAAAAGCTTGGAGGGCCCAGCAGCTACTTACAAGTGGATGCCTGAAGCTTTTTGAGATCTTGTCACTGACACACTTGCTTGACCATTCATGCCGCGGCACCTGAATCCCCATTGTGGACTTTCCCCGGGATGGAGCAGAACGTGTCCCAAATGCTTGGACTTCGTCCCTCCTTGTCTGCCTGCAGTACACAAACTCAGACTCCCAACCCAGCACCAACAAGCCCAGTCGCTTCGTGAAGTGCTCCTAAGGCACTCGTAGACTTAGAGCCTTTAGCTTGACACGTGCTCTTAGTGTCATCTGACGCACACGAGCATTTTTCATGTGCACATGCAGTACAATGGAAGCTCCTCGTTTTAGCAAACTAAACGAAAACCAAGAGGTCGAGCCTCGCCCCACACTGCCAAAACGGAGTGCGCTTCTGTTCTGAACTTGACGGCTGAGACACTGCACCCTCAATTTGATACGCAGCTGTCGCTGCACCCCAGAGGAAGTCGGCCGGGAATGGCAACATTCTGTCATCATTGACCTCGAGAGCAATTGATCCATTTTCTGCGGGTGCGATCGGGTGCGGTCAGCTATGAACACAGACTCTGCGTGCACTACTGTAATTACTCCGGTGCATAATGTTGACGAAGACTCTTGCAAGACTTGATGGCACAAAGGTAGTTTGCTGAGCCTTCGGTCCTGCCTAGCCAACATAAAACCGTCTTGGGTCAGCTCAGCGGCGTTGAGAAGCGTCACCTGGCACTTAGCACAACACTGCCTCGCGGAGTCTGCTCCACATGAGCGCAGGCGCTCTCATGAGATGCAGCCAGAGTGCGTGGCTATGTACAATCTCTTTGTTGAACAAAGTTGTCAGGACACCTTGGCTGCATGCAATGCCACACAGGCTCAACTACTCCAATAGATTCATGCACTCGCCGGCCGCCGTACGGGCTGTGGACCGGCTTACAGCTTCACTCCGGCTGGTGCCGCCACGGCTCCATTGTCACGAAACCTGGGAGCGATTGACTCGACGAGTGAAAAGTCTTGGCAAGTTGCCCTGAAGCGCCGGCTTGGACACAACCCAAGCGACCGAGTTTAGTCAGAAATTCAGACCAGGAGCAGAACCTTGGTGCCTGCCACAACACCGAGAAAGTGGGGTGGCCCTGCCAGCAGTTTTTTGAGCGCAGCCACCTCAGACAGGGCTCGGTTCCTGATGCTGCAGACACAAGTGTGAGCACGCACTGTTGTAATAAAGGTGGCAAGTTTGATCTCGTGATAAATCATATCACTCCGCTATGCCATGTCGTCGTTCTGACATCAACTTGTATTGGTCCCTTACCTCAGTCGGCACATATAGGAAGCAGAGAACCGTGTGCGTCTGAGTCAAAAATGATGCCAAACAGCTGTTGTCTTCTCGGACACTTCGAGCTCCAGCACCCATCCCTCCTTGCAGACTGTTGAGTTTAATGAACAACAGGCAGCAAGTGGCTGAGGGGCCACAGAAAAGTCGTAAGTCGTGACATGTCGTGTCCTGCGCGGCCCGAACCTTGAACTGCTTTGGATCCCGCGTCTTCCGACATGCCCTAAAATCCAATGGGCCCCAGCGGCAAACTCAGCAAACCCGAATCAACCTGCCGTCCGAAGGGTGCTGTGTTGAAAGGCAAGGGAAAACATGTCTGGCGTTGCAATGAGCCAAGCCAGCAGGGTGCAGACCGAAAGCCCTGTGCAAGTTCCAGTACTTGAAGCGAGAGTCGCAGTTGTCCGCCGTCGAGCTGACCGTCACCCGCATAGCTTTGATGCGGCATTGAGACCGTCCAAGTGGGTTTGGGTTGTTTGCGGCGGGATTGTGCTTTGTCAGATGCTCCTTCCGACGTTTGGATTGGATCTTCAACGCCACCTTCGTGAGCTCAGATTAAGGGTCGGCTTCCAGGCGCCGGGGTCATAGTCAATATGGGGGTTTTAGCTGGTCCGATCAGCTTTGCTGGCTACAAGCGTATCGACATGTCTTATTGCTTTGCCTGGCCAACAGGCTGGTTGTAAATCCTGCGGCATGCACAACCCAGAAATCGGAGTATGGTCAGAACATGTCGAAACTGCAGGGTTGAGGGCTTCAAGCGCACAATGACCCAGTGCATCTCGTGTATCCTGAATACGACAAACGTCCCCAACAAATCATCTCTGGAATCTGGAACAAGGAACAGCAACAGTTTGTCTTGTGTCTCCAAGGGGACAACACATGCAGTACTTTGGAGATATGACTTGCCGTGCACACCACCATAATTAGCTGCCTTCAAAAAGACCAGAGCTTCAATGCCGAGCAACCCATGCCGTGGGTAAACCGCGTGAGCTTCACGGAGGACGGGTCCATCTGCAGAGGAAGGAGCTCGTCAGAAATCTCTTCTACAATCCCTCGTTCTCTCTCATTATGACTGCAGTAGCTTGAACGGCACATGGTTCCTGCTGGTCAGGCGATGTGGTCACGCTAGTTCCCCCCAATATTTAAACCCGGGGGCCCGCTGAATAAAAACTCTGAAAATAGTCAATTATTCGGTGGTATTTTGTTATCTCTACTGCCCCTTTTGGGGGGGTCGTGCTCTTGCTCCTGCTTCTGCTGCGTCTCTGGCTATTGCTCCGCTTTTGCTCCTGCTCTTGCTCTTACTCCCACTCAAGATTTTGCTTTGCTCTTGGTGATGCTCTCGCTTTTGCTCTTGCTCTTGCTTTTGCTCAAGCCTCGAAACCCTCCCCCTAATTCAGAATAGGTTTTAAAGGGCAGGCATGATTTCGGGAGGATTCGCCCCAGTGTGGGCTTTCTTATTAGGGGGGTGTTTCATAAAAAGCGGAAGCGATTAAGGAAGAGGAGCTGTGTGATTGCAGCCTGCATTCAGCGTACACAGCAGCATCCCTCGTCTTGGCCTCCTCCAAGTCTCTGTCAACATCATCTTGGGCCTCCGGGCATCTGCATTCAAGCACTCCATGAGGTCGCAACTGAAGCTCAGAGAAAGCATAATGCTCCTCGGCCGCATTCTCCGACGGCATGAGCCTGACATCTTCAGCTTGAAGCTGTGCGGGTCAAGTTGTAGCTCAGGTACTGCGCTGCCCCCGATAGGGCTCGCAGATCTTGGATGACAGTCGAAGCGGAACAACCCGCAGGCTTGCTACAGTATGTGACAGTCCCACAGGAAGTGTTTCGCAGGAAGGCCCCTGACCCAGAATGCGCCAGACAAACTTCTGAAAGTGTGCAATTGCGGAGGCTGGCTGAAGCAAAAGACAGTCGCCAGACTCGCCCGCCTGCACACCGCGGACGCGATAGTCAAAGCAGCCCGGTCGATCTGCAAACAGAGGGACACAGAATCGGCTCTGGCAGGGCTACGTCGGGCTTGGGAGTGCGTGGATGCACCGTATCGTCACAAGCCACCGGCTTACAGAACCAAATTAAAAGCGTTTTTCCTCGCACGTTCTGTGCTTCTGGCCCAGGCTGCTTCCCTGCCAGCCCGGAGCAGTTTACGACGATCTGTCCCGAGGCAGCACACCCCAGCCTAGCCTAGCCGACCATCAGGCTGGGGAAGCAAACTCGACAAGTTTCCCATTCCCCAGCCCCCAGGCCAACCGTACCGAGGAATACCTACTGTGGGAATTTGCTTCAGGAGCTGGATGAGCTCACCGTGTCGTAGCACAAGCGTGGTCTTCAAGCCAGAGGCAGCAGGCAATGTCGTTTCACGATACGGTACTTGGGACGCACAATGTCGGCTTAAACTACACGTCGACATACGAAGTGCTATACCCCCTCTCACAGTCTGCACCTCCGCAGGCGTTGTCTCTCTGCCAACAGTGAAGCGGCAGGTTCCCATGGCCCACTCCTTGCGACGGAAAATCCCGAGCTCTTCCCAAACAAAGTGAAGGTCCAGCCTTGCTCACCCCCATGGCCTGGCGAGGCTTCGGATCTCGACATGCCTTCCCCAAACTCGCCGGGCCTCCAGAACGTGGGACATGTGCACCTCATCGCCTCAAGCTGGCAGCATGACAGCAGCGAGGCCAATACGGAATGCCTTATCTGTCTAGCTGCTGTGGCATGCTGCTCCGGCAGAAGCGGCAACATCATCGCCGACCTCTGTTCGCAGGTCTACAGAGCTGCCAGGAAACTGGGGCAAGTTGTTCTGTGAGGGCATCCGATCAACCCCGGGCACCATACCAGACAGGAGCACTCGTAACTTGAAGCTGCTTTGTGGCATCCGAAGCTGGGCAGGAAGCCTCCGACAGCAGCGTGTTTGCTTCCACCTGCGGCCACGAAGCAACAGAGGGAAGCGGCGCTGTCTCTGCTCTCATGGCATGCATAAAACTTCGGCGAGGCCTTGTAAAAGGAAGCCGAGAGCGTATTCGGCAATCTTGCCTGAAAACTTGCAACTTGCAACATTGGGCAAACATTCTCAGGGATTCGTGAATGTGCGAGCAGGCAAGCAAAGGCAGCTGATCACAGCTCATCCGAGCACGGCCGCTCCAAAACTCCGTGTTCCAACCCTCGCTGTGTCTTCGGTAGTCACCAAGCCTCACTCGGACCATTTCGCCTCATCAAATGGGCCTCCAAACGGGCGTGCGACGTAGGAGGCGGTTGAGACACGGTCTGGCTGGGGCCCGGACCCTTGAGCCCAAACCTGACTTGAAGACAAGATTCTCGCTACTGCCGGTAGGAGAGATTTCAGGGCCTCTCCAGACCGAGAGCGGCTCTCAGAAAACAAACTCAACAAAGGCAAGAGGCGCTTCGCAAGCTGGTCATGAAGCCTGTCGCACACGTAGGTGCCGGAATTTCTCAGAAGGGTCGATATAACGTGCGAGTCGAATGTGTGCAGTTTGAGAGAAAGCTTGAAGAGGCCGAGTTTCTCTAACAAGAACTGACTTGCGGCCTGTCTCTCATCTGGCGCATGTGTCTCGCGTTCCTGAGCTTCAACAACATGCCGACTCTCTGCATCTGCTCGCCTGACGAAGATCCACTTCAGGCACAACGTTGGCCATGGCAGCTCAAGGCTTAAGGGCCACGCTTTGCCAAGTCCCGATGTGCAATCCGGCATGCCTGTTATGCACTGCACAGCAGGCATTCCCGACAATCTTGCCCACCCTTTGCAGTGCGGGGACGTCTGGCTCACGGCGGGACCTCTTGCTTCAAATTCCCGGTCGTTCTTGCGACGGGAAGTGTTGCCGATATGCGGCAGGGTGTTTTCCAGCTTCCACGCCAAAACATGACTTTTGGTTGACGGTTTGATTGCGCTCTTCTGCCATGCTGGTCCACTTGTTTTCTTTTGGTCCTGGGCACTCGGCTGGGGCTTCGTACTTGGGCGATGTTGACGGCACATGTGCGTTTCGATGTATCTCGCAAACCTGCATGCAAAGGCTGGAGCTTCCTTGAAGCTGCCTTCGACAGAAATAGGGTGTTGCAAGTGGCACGGCAACAAAGCGCCTCGCCGAGCCCAACGATGTGGATGACATTCTCTGTGCCTGGCCATCATGACACAACAGCTACGAATGTAATACCCTGGTTCTCACTGAGGGCCTGGCTTGCACGACGCCCAGATTCCTTGATCACGTACTTTTGCGTCTTTTGGGACAAGCATGGCAAGGGCCAGTTGTCGAGGTCAGGTCACACCGCCTTAAAGTCTTAGCAAAGAATGGCATTAAATGGCAATACCAATCACAACTCCCCCTTATAAAATGCAATAGACCCCCCTCCCCGCGCCCTAAACCTCCGATTTGCACATGGCAGCTTGGTGAGGCCGAGGGGCCTGGCCGGCTCCATGCAGCAATGCCGGCAAGTCCTCGTGGCGGCGTGGCACCATGCGAGTGGAGCTTATCAAAGCAACACAGATAGCACCACTTCGACCCCTTACCAGTAGTGCGTTTTGGCCTTTTGCAAAGTCTGGAGACGTCGTGACGCGGCATCTCGGTTTTGCATGGTTTTGCTGGAGTCCGAAGCCTCTGGGCCCCTGGATTTCGATGTATTTCGCACAGCGCGGTCTGCTTTGGACCTCTGGCTGAATGTGCCATGTTAAATGCCTTCCAAACGTTGCCTTCTCTTGGTTCCATCCATCTTGCTCTTGCTGCACAGCCCGGATCTGCTAATCTGCCACGTTGTTTTCTGCAAGCCTTCTGCATCTGCCGCCGCAAAGCTCTTTACTTACAACAACTGCGACGCCACCGCAGCGAAGATGCATTAGCGGAAGATGAGTGGCTAGCAGGCACTCCGGCGTACTCCGACCGCGTTGTTGATGCTTCACTCTGCCAGGTAAATTGTATCGTGACGGCTCGCATGATCTCGGCTTGCGGCCGGCACTGTCGAGCGTTTGTAGAGGGCCTGAGCTTGGCAACGGGATGCAACTCCAAGGACAACGGCTGACAACCCCTGCCACGGCTGCCTGAAGCTGCCTGCCTGCAAAACTTACCTTGCATCTGGGCTGCGCCAACGCCTTTCGGCGCATAGAGCTTGTGGCCGGCGATCGTCAGCAGGTCAATACCTAGCCTGGAAGCACATGCGTAGCTGACTTCGACTCTCACAGCTTGAGCAATCCGGGCGAGGAGCCTGAGTTCGTTGAGCAACTTGATGGGCTACTTCATGCGAGCAGCCAACTACGACTTGAGGGGCGGGCCGAGGCGAACGAAAGCTAGCCGAGTGAGACCAGGAGGATGAAGGAGGGTTCATGAAACTACCTAGCAGGATGTCATAGGATGTCAATGAGTAAGAGGGATTGATGCAGACACGAAACATTATGTGAGTCGGTGGACTGGGTCTAATGCAGCCAGTAAGCATGATTTGATGTGTACCATGCCATGCACGTGTGGTACGTAAAGGTTTGCGCATGGAGTGGTTCCGACCACGGCCATGCATAGCATGTGCGGGTGCATCCCAAACCCAGACCGCCCACGCCAACATCATACCAACCAAGATCCATGTGCCAGTGCGGGAAAAAGAGCATGCGCGCCAGATCAGAAAAACCCCAGCCCAGCCCAGCCCAGCCCAGCCCAGCCCAGCCCAGCCCAGCCCAGCCCAGCCCAGAGACAGCCCCAGCCCCAGCCCCAGCCCCAGCCCAGCCCAGCCCAGCCCCAGCGCAGCGCCCCAGCCTGGGCCAGCCCACCCCAGCCGCCCCGGCCCAAAACAGCCCTAACTNNCAGCCCAGCCCAGCCCAGCCCAGATAACGCACATCTTCGATCGCATCCGAAACCATGGCATCCATGACGCACAATAACAACGTCCACTACTATTTTTTACACACACACACACACACCCAACAAGCCTCAGTTCAAACAATCACGTACGAACCGAAAGGCTAAGTGAGTTTCCGACGGATTTTTCAATCGCGATTCCCTCCCCCTCTCGCCCGCAAAACCCACTTTCGTATCCCTATCTACCTCCCTCAACGCCGCCCCGATCCAAAAAAACATCGCGCGAGCTTTCGTGACTTCGGGGTTGTAAATAGGGCTTATAACTAGGGTTCATCGGGATGTGAGCTTAGGTGCAGGTTGAGCTCTTTTCCGTTCGTCCAACTCTTAAACCCGGAACGCGAAGACTTCCTGTCGCCCAAGCACAACAGGACCGCACAATTCTTTGTGTTGTTGACCTAGCCGGGCTTAACTCTCGACACGGCTTGCTACCGACACCTTCACGTTGGCACGAAGCTCTACCAATCAATACCCAGAAACATTTGGGCAAAAAATACTTCTTCCCAGGGTGCCAGACCGATCTATCGTGAAATGAGTATCGATTCGCAAGTCCAGTGAGCACGGCAGGTTTCAAGAAAGAGTTGGGTTTCAACACATGCATTCGGGCGGCTCGTCCACATTCACCAGCAGCTTGCCCAGGCTCCTGAGCATGTGATCCCACGGGTACACTGTAGGAGCAGCACGTTTACCAGGGCTCTGGGCTGCGCTGCCCCAGTCTCTTCCACTAGTTGGCTGCCCGTGAAAGATTGAGGCATAGCTCTTGTTCAGTGCTGGCACGTCCCTAGAATTACACCAACTGCCCGGTTCGGCCAAGCTTCTGTGAAGCATCGCAGTGCACGTACACCTTTGTGAACGTGCTGGCTCGGAAGTCGACTTACATCGGGGTCGTCTCAGTGTCGCATGAACCGAGGTGGAAAAATAGGCTGAACTAACACAAGCACCAACACTCTGAGTTCATTTCGCTGTGCGAAGCTTTCCTGCCACGGAAGACGTTGGCTCAAGGCTTCGTTCGATCAAGAACGGCCACCTGGCTCGTGCGGCGATCTCTTGAATCGGCTGAAGAGCACCCGTCTCGTTGTTGGAATGCCTGGCAAGCACGAAAGGCTCGATCCAGCGTTTCAAGGGGGACGTTTGTATACATGCGTAAACTGCGGACAATGCCAAGGCACATGATGCTAATGCAAATCGTCTGAGGCGTCATCGCTGCCTGCGAGGCACAAGACCGTCCTCACTCGTTCTGCGATGTTACAGCCCGAAAGTCGCTTGCTGCTCGTCTCTTCGTGCGTAGTCTAGTGACTAGTGGCCTATCACCTGGCTCTTCGAGGGCCGCTCACGGCTTCCCCATGTGTCTGGAGTCTGGAGCGGCAGCACCTCCACAGCAGCCGGGTTCACCAGGCCTGAAGCCCGAAACAAGTCCCACCACACACAAACTTGAAACAAAACTCTCCTTGGCTTCACCGTTTCACCACTTCACGTTGTGCGCGCCACGCCGGGGACAGATGCAGGCTGTGCGACAAGTTGCACAATCATGTTTCCAGCCTTCGGCGTCTACAGGAAGAATTGTTACCTGCCATTGCAAGCACTTGACTCACTTGACCTCCTGTTATTTCCACCAAATTCCAGAGCAGCTTTGAATGGCTACATTGCATCTCCAGGCAGCGTGCCCGCTGTGCCCGCGCACCTTGCAGCCTCGCTGCTCCAAGGCGCGGCAGACCTGAGAACATCTGCGCGTGAAGATTCCGTTGCAGTGACTTGGGTCTCAGCTCCTAGAGGCCACGACCTCAAGCACCGCCACATGTTCTGTGGCCTGGAGGACCAGAGACTCCCAACAGTGCGCAAAAAACATGATCTTGTCTCCCCTTCTATCAGCTAGCCAGCCTGCGTGATGAAGTGTCTTCTGCCTGCGAGACTTCTCCAAGAGAAAGGGCAGACGTGTCTCTGCGTATGTGCCTGTGTGCAGGCTGCGAAGCCATGCCCGGCTGCCGACATGTCCCGACCCGAACTCCGGCTCTCCGCCTTCTTTCTCGCCGATGTCGGCCAAGCCTTTCAAGGCCTCGGCACTGGGCCGGACCGGGCCCAGGCCCAGATCTAAGAGTCGATCTGAGTCTGATCTGTGCATGGAAGATCTTGGAGACTTGCCTGGTTGATGGTCTCGGTTCCGTTCGACATGAAAGTGATTTCTCCTTCCAACAGGCATCGAAGCAAGCGCCTAGAAAGAGGACGCTGATGAAGTCGCGAGGCCCGGGATTCTCTGCTTTGTCAGCGCCGTGGCTTGAAGTGTACGACTGCGCATGGTGAAACGCAGATAGGCCATGACCGGAGCTACACAAGAAAACATTCGGACGTGCACGGCTCCAATCTGATTAGCATCTGGACCCATATTTGGTCCTAAGTTGAAAGATTCTAAGAGCAAGTGCAAGGAACCTGCCTTGTAATATCAAAACAATGAACCCTGCCTCTTGAATCTGATATGCTCTCACACGTACTTGCTCGCTTCCCGGCTCTCTCTTCGAAAGATCAGCGAAGGAGCTCGGAAGCCTTGTCTTTGAGGCTCACAAAGGTTTCAGAAACCTTGGCCAGGGACTGCTTCATGGCACTCATCTCCTGGCAGATGCACTGCAAGCGCGACAATCGAAGAAACTGACAAAGCTTTGCAAATCTCCGCATCCGTGCTAGCTCCTGCGACAGGCTCTCCGCCGTCTGGGGCTTGTCCTGCGGCAAGTCTCTCTGCCCTGAAACTCAGATATTGCATCACCGCAGCACCTGCAATGAACGCACCAGCGACCCTCTAACGGCGTGACGTGGTGCTGTAGAGCTCGACACGCACTGAAATGACAGGTCTCCTGTGTTGGCATGCAGCGCTGGCATGCCACCGCGGTGTCCTTTGGCAGGGAAGCACAGCGAGCGTCGCGATAGATAGTACAGGCAAGTGTGAATGTCAAGTCATGTCAGGACTCTCAACACTAACACTACACCGCGCCAAAAGGACATGATGCAGACATCTACACAACCATCCGCATGGGCACGACTTTCAATAGCCCGTGCAGGCTAGTAGCTGCGAGTGTGGGGGTCAACGATGCAGAAAACTGGGGACTCACTGGGAACCGGGCTCTGGGGTATGCATGGAAATGTCTCGTGTCGGAGCCCTCTCATTCCGATTCCATTGTACGTGCCCCGCAATTCCACAATGCTGTGGAAATTTTGCTCTAAGTTTATATTGCAACTTGCAAAGCAAGCCCTATAAATAAATATTATATATATATACGCATATACACAAGGAGTTGTTTGTATACATACATCATCATACATCCATACGAAAGATGTAAACAAGGCTTTGCAAAAATATGCGTACATACTCTTACTTATGTATTTGTTGATCTTTATTGATATATGGGTGTTATCCGATATTCCT